GTCTCAATTTACTCAGGCTGAATCCTTCCCTGAGGATTGCTCTTGTTCTCTGGAATTAGAAGGTAATGTTTTATTCCTTGATGTCTCCCTTTTGCAGTTCCTTGGCGTGAGCAGGGAACAAACTCCGGCAGAGACTGGAGTGGCACGAGAGCGATCCAGGGCTCTGTTGGACCAGGAGGTGTGTGGAGGGTGCAGGAGACACAGTGAAGCAGCAGAGCTGTGGGAGAGAGAGGATGGGAGAGTCTCAAAGTGGGGAAAGTGGGATTTGGGCAGCAGAGGAGAAAGGTGGTGAGAGAGGGGAACGATCTCAGCAGCTGCGTTTTACGCGGCCACTCCTGGATCCTGCAGCTGTTCATTAGGAATTCTGTTTATGCCACAGGGAGTTTTGGAGGCTCTGAAGCTGACACAGTTTTAATAGACAAAGACATTTTGAGTGCAGCACATCTGCTCTGGGATGCTGAGGAAGAGGCTCCATGCGGCAGTGCCACTGGTTGGGGCGTTTTGTTCCTGCTTTTTTTTTATTTTAAGACCTCTCTTTTATCCTGGAAAGTGATGTTTGAGGTCAAAAGAAGTGCTGTGTTTGCTCATTAAGTTTGCAGCCCCTAAACAGCCCTGCCATGCTATTCCTAATATCCCTGAGTTCCCAGCCCTGAGAGCTGGCAGAGTCACTTCTGACATGGAAGGATCCCGAAGCATTTCCCAAAAGTGGCCATCGTGGAGGTGTCAGACACAGGTTTGGGAATGGAGGAGAGGCCTCCCTTGGTCCATGCTGCATCATTAAAAATCTGGTGAGTAGGTCTTAAATGGATCAATTTATTTCCAGGCAGACTCAGTCTAACCCTCAACTTAACTTTTATAAGCCTTGGCTTTCCAAAGCCCATCTCATCTTGCTCGGTGATTGAATCCACCTCGTGCAGCTGGATAGTTAATTCCTTCCTTCACCTCCAGCTCTGGCCAAGTTCCTCGGATCCCTCTTTCCCTGACCTCTCTCTAGGGCCTCCAATAAACAGAACAGTGTCACTTTGCCCTTCCTAACTGGTCTGTTATTGCTACATCTGCCCTGCAGTGATTTTGGAATGTTTCCACCTCCCCATTCCGGTCGGAGAGCTCTCTGTGCCGGGCACGGGTGCTGAGTGGAATTTGCCGTCTCCCATCCTGCCTTTTCCAAGGACTGGGTGTTGTTAGTCTTTTCCAACCAGGCATCTTGAGAGGAGCTTTGTTTTTTATGCCTCTCTCTCTGCTATCCTGCAAGCAAAGCACTGGGCATTGGTGACAAGACAGCGCTCAGCGTGTGTCAAATTATCCGGCGTTCCAAACCCGGGCGGCAGCGCCGCTTTGTAGGAATTTAATTACCATGGATTCTGCTGGTGCTTATCTGCTATCATACACTCCTCTGCTGCTTAATGACTTCATTAAACACTCCCACAAACCTCAGGCACTGGGGTTTGTCCTCTCTGTGTGTTTTGAGGTGATGTGTTTGTCCATGTCCACACTGGCATGTCCTCGCCTGGGCACTGTGAGGGTCCTGCAGGACCTTTGTTGGCTTTTCATAGAATCCCAGAATGGTTTGGATTGGAAAGGACCTTAAAGACCATCTTGTTCCACCCCCCTGCCATGGGCAGGGACAACTCCCACTATTCCAGATTGCTCCAAGCCCCATCCAGCCTGGCCTTGGACACTTCCAGGGATCCAGGGGCAGCCACAGCTTCTCTGGGCAACCTGTGCCAGGGCCTCCCCACCGTCACAGGGAAGAATCTCTTCCAAACATTCATTTTTATTATCCAATAATATTTTATTTCTTTATTTCATAGCACTGCCTGAGCTGGCAGAGCTCTTACCTGACAGGTCTGTACCTGTGGTACCTCTTGGTTTCAGGTGGGGACTTTCTCTGACACCGGGCTTTGGCCAGCAGCAGTTTTACAGCACAGATGCTTCATGTTGTGCCAGTTCTGGGTGTCTGTGGGTGCCTGGAACAGGAGGGAGATCTTAGATACACAGAGATTCTCTGAGGGCTGGAGCTCTCGATCCAGGCTGGGAGAGTTGGGGATGTTCACCTGGAGAAGAGAAGGATCCAGGGAGACCTTGGAGCCCCTTCCAG